TACCAGGGGCCTTACAGGCCTGTAGAGAGGCTCCAGTGGCATTATAAGAAAAAAATCTGATTATGTCCAGGATCATTAGCAATGTAATTTACAGGATCATTAAGAATATAATATTCAGAGGCCATTTTATTACTATGCAATTGTGGGCTGAACTATGAATACTGAACTTCTTTGTTATCTCATTACTATAGTCCTGTAATTTATTCCAATCACATCCTTGAAGTGGAGACACCCACCAAGGAAGTCCTGATGTACTGGACAAGGGCAGTGAGCCACATATCCTGCAAGAGGTGTGTTGTAATGATTTTGCATATGCTTGTGCCCACATTAAAAAGGAGTTGCATCCTCCTTTCAGTGGTGAAGGGAACAGTAAAAGGGCTAATAGTAGCCTTACTTACCTGAAGTCTTTGTTTTCTCCTTGAAGAGGAATCTTAGGTCTTCTGTGGGTTCACAGGAGTATGTGGGTGGTTGTTCACATCCAGTGATAGTCTCAAGTTTCCAGGGTTTGTGTCAGGTGTGATGCATCCGAGTGTCCAGGCCTCTTGTCTTCAGCATGGAAGAAGTCGACAGGATCACTGTGTAAGGTCCTTCCCAATGGCTGATGAGGGAGGGGATTTTACCAGCACTAAATCTCCAGGGTGGAAGATAGGTTTTCCTTTCTCTGTAGGCTGAGCTTCTGTAAGCTCTTGAAGAGTTTGCTGGAATTTAGCCAATGAGGTGATGTCTTTTTATAAGGCATCTGTTTCTCTGACAAAGAGAAAATCATCAGTGAGGAAAGGGCATCCATAAGGCATTTCAAGCGGACTGAGGCCTAGGTTTTGAGGTGTATTTGTTATTTTGATAAGAGGTAAAGGTAGGATGAATCTGAACCCTGGTGGGGCCTTGGGCTGAGAGGGCAGTCTGACATCCAGTGGTCACCTTTGCAGTCAGGGCATGGCCCAGGGGGCTTTTGAGTGCAGTCCCTCTTAAGGTCACCTGGCTTGTGGCAGTGATGGCAGGTGAAAGTCATCGTTGAGCTCTTCTTAGAGACCTGAGAATCAGACTTAGGGTCTGTTTCTCTTAATGCTGTGCAAAAGCAGCTGCTTTTTCTCAGTCTCTTTGTTTTCTCTCTTTGACCTCCCTCTCATCACAGTTATAAAATACTGAGGAGGCAACTTTTACTAAAGTATCAAGTGAGCTGGGGGTTTAGCTCAGTGGCAAAATCACTTGCCTGTCAAATGTGTGTTGTGTTTGATCCACAAACTCCAACACACACAAAATGAATGAATAAATAAAGTATCAAGTGGACTATCTGGAGGAAAAGCCATCTTTTGTAGCTTTTTTCTAATAGCTGAGGCTGACTGTGTAATAAACTTATCTTTAAGGATAATTTGTCCCTCTATTGAATCAGAATCTAAAGAAGTATGCTTTATCAATGCCTCTCATAATCCATCTAAGGAGGCAGAAAATTGTTCCTTCTTTTCTTGTTGAATAACTGATAACTTAAAATAATTGAATGGTTTAGTTCTCACTCTTCTTCAGCCTTCAAGAACACATGTCTGGAAATGATTTCTAATCCAATCACTCACCTGGTTGTGGGCCCAGTAAGAGTCTTGCATAGGGACTGTTTGTGATCCAGTGGGAACACAGCTTTTGCAAACTCCAACTGCACTGTGTCGCTGGTCCAGGACAAAATAAATCAGTGCTGCTTTTTAAAAATAAAAACATGTCTTGCCCATTTTTGAACTCGAGTTTGGGCTTTGGGGGCTCGTTTGTGGATTACAAGATTTAATGGCATATTTTTATTATTTTATTCTTGCACAAGTTAAATTTAAACTAGTTGCTAAAGTTATTTCCCTTTATCTTCTGGCCTTCTAAAATTGACAATATGGTATTCATATCCAAAGGCAATAGCAGCCTGTAATGCTGCGTGTCTCTCACTAGAAGTGAATGTCTGATTTAAGAGTAACACTACATCTTTCCAATCTACTTCATATGCCTGAGTAAGTCCTCTAAGGACCTGAATGTACTTGTCAGGCTCATCTGAAAATTTGCCAAGATCTAATTTTATTTGTCTTGGGTCACCAAGAGAGAAAGGTACATGAACTCTGGAAGTTCCAGATCATCCATGTACTCCCTGCAAAGGATACTGCCCTTGAGGAGCTTGCTTAAACTCAGCTAAGGATGGGTATAGTCCTGGAGAGGCCTGGATTACAGCTGGCCTAGAAGCTTTATCCTTAAGGCTGGAAGGGCAGGTGGGGGAAATCTTAGGTTCAGTAAAAAAAGGGGGGGGGGATTTGATTAAGGCTATTTTGTCCTCAGGTTCTAAAGGTTCAGGAGGTGCAATTTTCCGCTCTTGGGGAGAAGATGCCTTAAGGGCCCGAGGTGCTGAGTTTTCCTGTGGCTAACATTTACATTTAGAGTATAAATAAGAAATATTTCCCAATGCATAGAAAGTCTGAATGTAGGACAACACTGACCATTTTTCCTGCTTGTCATGGTATGTCTCTAGTTGTAAAAGAGGATCATAATTAATACTTACCTCTGTATTCCACTAAGGCTCTAGGGGGTAGGTAGGCCACACACTCATGCAGAGAAATACCAATTGGATCTTTTTCAACATGGAAGGCTTGAACATCTAGTGCCTAAGAATGTGTTCCAAAGGAGAAGGGGCTTTGGCATTTTGTTGTCCATGTCTATAAAGTAAAAGCAAGGCATAAGTATGAAACCTTTTCTGTACCCAGGCATTGAACTAAGTACCGTTTGATGAGCTATGAGTGATATTGAGCTATCTAGTTATGCATAAAATGAGTTAAAATAAGATGTCCTTTTTTTTCCTATTTGATAGATGTTCCCCACGTGTCTCTTGGGTTGAAACTGCTCCAGGGCAGGTGAATGCCCTCTGGAGAGAATGGACGATAGATTCTGTCAGCTTATCCACCCTGGACCTGGCACACAATCCTATATTGCTAGATAGCTCGTGAGTTTTGTTTCCATAAAGAATGTTTAATGAAGGAAGCATGACTTTGTAAGCATGTATTATAAGGGAGCATACATTAAAAGGTGAATTGGTGGTAGAGTACTTTTCAGGTTTTTTAGAGTAACTGTCCTCTAGAGATAGATAGAACAACTGACTGGAGGAGCATTACTCCTTAATCTGGGCAAGAGTCTCCAGACATTTGTTTCTCACTTATCTAGGTAACCTTTCTTCGTAACAGGACAAGGTTATACTTCATTTAGATTTCTGTATCTTTGAAGCTCACAGGTTAAATTTATAAATTATCATCTAGCAGTCACATTTTAAGTTAGAAAGAGGCACATCAGTCTTCTAGTCACACAAAAAATCCTAGTTACATTTTTAAAAATTTTATTTAAAGACAAAAGAAAAAACTTTTATTTAAAGAGAAAAGAAAAAACTGAAAAAGAGTCCAAGTAACACAGAATTTCAAAAAAATAGAAATCACTAGATAATAGATTACACATTGTCATCTTAGAAATAATTGCTCAAGGGCTGGGGATTTAGCTTAGCGGCATAAGCACCTGCCTTGCAAGCAGGCGGTCGTGAGTTCGATCCTTGGTACCGATAAAAATGAAAAAGACAAAAAAAAAATACATAAAAAAAAAAAGTAATAATTGCTCAAGTCTATTTACTTTTAATTAACATAGGTAAATCATTTCCCTACTAGCTGCTATGGAATGTAAGCAATCATTGCAAGCTACCTCAGTATAATCTCTGAAGGGATGGGTAGTTTAAGTGATCTGAAGATCTATTGAAAAGTTTAGAATGTTTTTAGTCTACTAGCAGAGAAATAAGAATGATAGAAAAGGGGAGATTTTAAATGGTCATGAGCAAATGTCCATTGAGGAAATGTTGGGTGACAACCAGGGTGTTACTCTGGCCAGGAACCCTCAGTTCTCAGTTTCTATTGCCTCAGATAACCAGACATCAGTCTCCAAAAAGGAATCCAGCTGCCTGTCTGGTCAACATTGTGTTGACTCCATTGGCCACTGGCTTCCATGGGGATTCACCAAACAGATGCTGGGGAAAGCTAGCCTCTGATTTTGAGGGTGGCAGTTGCTATAAGGATAATTAGCTGGCACAGTGACCACTGTGTGTCAAAATTCTATGAGGGATAATTAAAAGACTGAGCAAGATCATTACCTACTTCTTTATCAATTTATAATAAAGGTTTTTAAGTCCATAATTGGAGAGGTTGGAAAGTCTCCTTATTCTAAATAGGTTTAGGTCCCCTATGTGTGCTGCTTTTAAGGATAGCTGCTTCCATTGCCACATGGAAACTGGTTCTCCCCACTGTGTCTTGGGTTTAATTTCCAAAGGAGATTTTCCCAGAACACTGAGCTGGGACACAGCTTTCATGTGTATTCTCCTGAATGGGCACAATTCTGATGTCTCATCTGATTCAGAGATGGAGTATGTGTCCCTCATCTAAGATGACTTCCCTGTCCTTGGCATTAGCAAATGCTCATTTTCTATGGGCTTAACTCAGAAGGAAAAGGTTGGAATAATCTAGAGTTTTTCCCACTTTTATATGCCTTTATTAGGAAAATGTAAAGTGGGAAGAGAGTAAGAGGTAAAGTGAAACAAAGGAAACTGAAGCAGAACAGGCTTGACATTCCTCTGGAGGATAAAGGAGGATCAGAACCAGTCTGTCTCAGTGAAACCTGTCCTTCAAGTCTGGAAGCATGGCCACCAGCCTAGTGCATCTTAAATGGTGGAACGAGTCCCATGTTTTATTGTAGGCATGTAAGTTTTCTAAGTCTGAACTAGATTTCATTTAAGAGAACCATTTAATAGAAATTTATATTAAAGACTGTTGAGGGTGTTCTATTATCATCTGTGGTGCTATTGTCTAAATATAGTTAAGCAAGGAATACCAGTAACTTTAGCAACTAATATAACATGTGAAAGAATAAAATAATAAAAATATGCCATTAAATCTTGTAATCCACAAACAAGCCCCCCAAAGCCTAAACTCAAGTTCAAAAATGGGCAAGACATGTTTTTATTTTCAAAAAGCAGCGCTGATTTATTTTATCCTGGGCCCTGTAACACAGTGCAGTTGGAATTTGCAAAAGCTGTGTGTCCTCCTTAAGGCTTTCTAGCCTCTTGTAGAGAGCAGAGTTTACAAAGTAAAGGGGTTATGGGGGTGGATCAGGAAATCTGCTAAGGAAATGTTTTCCTTAGCAGAGGACAGAGTAGTCTAGCATTAGTTAATTCTTTGTCAGCTGATTTTAGCACCACATCTGTTATTAGTAGAGGGCAACAATGGTTAACATATCAATTAGTTTAGGTTCCCGGGATTTACAATTTTTTACAGAAGGGAGCATTGATTAACATATCAGTTAGGTCACCCAGAGGGGGGGAAATGCATACAAAACAGTAGGCGGCTTAACAGGTACTTTGGCTTAATACAAACATAACAAAGCTCTTTTAGCTAGTGTACAGCTTTCCCCACTGATTTTAGTCAGTGCACCAAATCATTGGCTCATGGGTTTTCAGACATAGGTACCTGTTTATAACCTTGCATCTTTAAAATCATAAGCTGTATAATTTGAACCTTTGACATAGTTTACTAATCTGTGTATAATACAAGGCCCAATAGGAAGATTAACAAAGTTCTTGCAGCTACCATTATTAAAGCTGTTAAACCAAAAGGAGAAAGAAAACCAACATTTAAATTCACTGTTTTGTCACATAATTAACAATTTTTTAAAAGCCAGATAGAGGCCTCCTTGGGGTCTCCATAAGGGAGAACATAAGATTATTAGTTACATTTGGCAATCCTGAGCTTTAAAGAGTCCTTGGAGGGAATGGCAGTCCACTTATCTGTAGGTTGATCGCCTTTGGAAGCCAGGACCTGCTTGAAGTGGGAATGATGCATCGAGGTAGGCTTTCTGGCTACTTTGATAGCAGTTGGAGTGCTGAGGACTACAATGTAGGGACCTTTTCAATGGCTCAAGAGATCCATGGTGAAGCCTGTTGATGAGCACCGGTGACTCAGGCTCTACAGCAGGGTGTTTGTCCTCTCAGTGGGCTGCAGGTGGAAGATGTTGTTGTTAAAATAACCGGTGGATGGAAGTCAAAACTCCCTGAAGAGTTTGGGGAGACTTAATAAGATCTTGATTAGCTAAATCAGCTAATTTTTCCTCAGAAATCTTAGGTATAAGAGGAGTTCTCTCATATAAAGCCTCAAAAGGGGAAATATCAGTAACATAGAGGGTACATTGCGCATGCAAGAGGTCAAAAAAGGAAGGAGACTCCCCTGGTTCTCACCAGTTTCTAAGGCCATTAGTAATTACCATCTTTAATGTCTGGTTTATATTTTCTACTTGTCTTGAACTTTGAAGGCAGTAAGCACAATGGAGTTTCCAATTGATCTGCAAGGCTTTGGTTAGTTTTTGAGTTATCTAGGCCATAAAAACCAGGCCATTCTCAGACCCGATGGATAAGGGGAGGCCAAATTGTGGGACAACCTCACATAAGAGCTTTTTGACTATCACAGCTAACTCAGATTTTGTAGAAGAAGCTTTTATCCATCCAGTGAAACTATCTACCATTACAAGTAAATACTCATATCATTGAAGTCCAGGCTTCCCCATTTCTGTAAAGTCTACCTTCCAGTGTTCTCTAGGCATAGTCCCACTTAGTGAGTGGCTGCTTTGGGTTCACCAAATGGCACTGAGGGCATCTGAGGCTCACAGGCTGGGCAAGCTTTGATATTAGTCCCCAAATGCAAGTCTTTTCAAGTGCAAATAGGCTCTGACAAAGTAGGTGGGAATGCAGTAATGTCAGGGCTATCTCAAATCCCCACTGATTCTACAGCTGCCTTGTGGGTGGTGGCATCTGCCAAATTATTTCCTCATATAACAAGGCCATCTCCTGCTCAATGGGCTCTACAGCGGATAATAGCCACTCTTCCTGGCATCCAGATGGCAACCAACAAGTCCAAAATTTGGGAAACATTTTTAATCTTTTGGCCCCAGAAGACAATAAGCACCATTCTTTATAAATGGTCCCATGAACATGGGCAGTAACAAATGCATACTGACAACTTGAGGTCTCACTGAGGGCAATGAGTTCAGCCTGTTGGGCCAATGTTTTTGGCTCCAGGCTTGGTTCCCATAGAATCTGCGAGTCTGTAGTAATGGCTGCTCCCACGACCCACTTACCTGGATAAATTTAACTGCTTCCATCGGAGAAATACAAAGGAACTCTGAATAGTGGCTCATCTGTCAAGTCTGGTCCCCAATACAGATGTGGAGGGGCAAGGAGGGGCATCATCAGGCAGCAGAGTAGCAGGGTTTGAAGCCGCTGTCCTTGAAACTGATGGTAGTCAGATCTAGAAGTAATGCCTGATAATGCATGACTTGGGAGTTTGGCAGCCATTGGTCCGGTGGAGGCTTGATGAGAGTCTCCAGCGAATAGGAGGAGACAATTAAGAATTTTGGTCCACAAGTCAGTTTTTGTGTCTCCTCTATCAGGATGACTACCGAGGAAAACACCCACAGACAAGGTGGCCATCTGGCTGCCACATAATCAAGTTTCTTGGAAAGATAGGCAACAGGCCTCTGCCAGGGTCCCAAACTCTGCATCAGTCCTATGGCTCCTAGAAATTTTTGCACTTGGTTTTTAGTCACAGACACTGGAATCTGTTGGATGGCTTGCATCTGCTGGGAGGAAAGAGTCATTTATTTTTATTTTTTTATGGAAAGTCCAACAACCAATGCAGTTTTTCTGCCCAGCAGAAACCTCTTAAGCCTGGTCTTTAGGGTCCTCCCGGTTGTCAAATATCTTTTAAGCAACCTCTGATAACTGATTGAAGGGCATTTTCTCAAATCTCTCAAACTTTTGCAATTTTTGCTTAATATCAGTGGCCGACTGGGTTACAAAGGCAATATTAATGGCCCTTGCATTTTTAGCCACTACTGGTGTATAAATGTGATAGGGCTTTTGCACTCTTTTCAAAAAACCCCGAGGGAGACTAATAAGTCTCTGTTGAGCCAATTGCCTCACCTCTGCTCTCTTGGGCAAATTGGTGGGTTTTCTGGGGTGCCCTAATGGCTACTGAGAAGAACTGGCGATACCGATAAGGAACCTCCTCATCTCTGGTTGTCCAATTAGGGTGGGACAAAAGGAAAACATGGTTTTGGCATTCTGGATCAGAGGCAGGTTTTATCCGGATGGCACACTGCTTTTTTTTTGTCCCAGGGTGGGCCATTGCCCACATGGCAGGCCACCGTTTTACTGAAATTACATACTTAACAAAAAAAAAAAGGCTTTTTCATAGGTAACAAAAGTAATTGTGCGGCATAGTCTCCCAGATATCCACAGCACATGCAAGAACTTGTATTTTATCTCTATAATCACCAGTCACATTGGGCACAATAGTTATTGTTTTATTTTTATTTATTTATTTTTTAATTCTATTTAAGGAGAAAAGAAAAAAAAAAGCAGAGAAAGGGTACAAGTTATACAGATTTGCAGAAAAAAAAATGAACAGTAGGAAATCACTAGTTAATGGATTACATATTGTCATCTTAGAAATAATTGTTCAAGTCACAAAATTAAAGCTTGTAAAGTGGACATTCCATCAATGATACTGCAAACAGTTCTGTTCAATGATCCAATAAAACTCTGATATCATTTTCTATCTTATACACTTAAATATACATGCAATTATATAGTTTAGAGCACTTTCTTTTCCTCTCTTTTGTACAATTTGGGTTTCATTGCTCCCACGGTTCTTATTACTTTTTTGGAAGAGAGTAAAACCAAATGGGACATAACAGAACACAATCGGTCAAGTCAAAAGGGTGGACATAATAGATAATGTGAAAACATAATACAAGGTGATCAACAATGGTTACCATAATGCCTCCCGCTATCTCTAATAGAATTGCCTATATCGTTAGTTATAATACAATTGAACAAAACAGTAAAGAATAAAACCGACAAAACCAAAACATTGGAGACATTGTAGGTCTTCAAAAGTAGATAAAAGTCAATGAGAATGGGCATTATAATGAGTCTCATTATCTTCACAGCTGATGCCTAAATTTTCGAACCTGATACTATCCAGCAAAACAGAATAGGGGAACATCAGTTAAAAACCAGATGGTGAGAGTAATACAGGGCTTTAAATCGAGGTAATGGAAAGTCAAAGTGGGTTACTATAATATATCCTGCTATTTTTTCCTTTAATTAAAAGGATAAAAATAAAAAAGTAAATAATGGAGTGGAGATTGAGATAAAAGAGGGCATAAAAACGAAACAGCGCAGATCAAAACATAAACATTTAATCAGAATAGTGTTTCACCACCAGATAATCCTGACCTAAAAGTAGTTACCATATTGTCTCTTTCCCTGAAATCCTTGAGTACAACTTCGTATACTGTAGCATTAAGTATGTCAAAACAATGTAAAACCATTTAAGAGAATGACAGCATCACAGAGTATTTAGAATCGACTAACAGAAAATGAACAATGGTTTCTGTATAATCTCCTTGACTTTAAAAGGTTTTTGCTTATACTATCATACATAATAAAATCCAGTAAGATACAACCTATTTAGACCATTGGAGACAGAAGGACAAAAGCTAGATGAGACTTCAAAACAAGATGATACTAAATCAGTATTACCTATTAAGATGTCATTTTCTCCAAAATAGCTGTTCCTATCATCCAATCTTCTCTGCCTGATTTCTGTTGAGCTCTTATTCTGTCAGTAGCTGTCAGTTTGTCTTCTTCACTTTGTTCTCTGCTCCATTCGTTGTGGCCTCCACTATTTCTGGATTCTTTGTATTTTTCTTTTTTTAGAATATCCTGTAATACTCTCTCTAGAGTTGAATTGGTGGTTGCAAATTTCCCCAGTTCCTCTTTATCCTGGAAGCACCTTGTTTTTCCATCAATTTCCAGGGACAGTTGTGCAGGATATCTCAATCTTGGCTGGAGATTATTATCTTTCAAAGCTTGAATTATTTCCCCCCATGCTCTTCGTGATTTGATGGTTTGTGCAGAGAAATCTGCTGTAATTCTGATGGGTGCTCCCTTGTAAGTGGTCTGTTTCTTGTCTCTGACAGCTTTTAATATTCTGTTCTTGTATTGAATTTCTGGAATTTTTATTATTATATGCCTGGGTGTTGCTCTGTTTGGGTTGTAGGTAGCTGGGGTCCTGTATGCCTCATACATCTGAGTATCTTTACCTTTTGCTAAATTAGGAAAATTCTCCTGGATTATTTCTGTGAGTAGCTTTTGTAGTTCATTTGTTTGTGTCCCTACTTCTTCTTTTATGTTCTTAATCCTTAAGGTATGGATCCTCTTATCATCTTCTTGTCTTTGTATTATTGCTGTTTGTTTCTTTATTATTTTAAAGAAGTTTTTCATTTCATTCTCCCATATTACAATTCTGCCCTCCAGTTCAGATAGTCTGTCCTTAGTTTCTTTCAAGCTGTTATGCCAGTCTTCGATAGACTTCTTAGTTTCTTGGTAGTCCCTTTGAACCTGCTTCACCTATTCTTTACTTTCCCTGTTATCTCCATCAAACAATTCTCCCCTCTTTTTCTCTTCTTCCATTCCACCATCTGTTTTTTCTTGGGTGGTACTTAGCATTTCTCTAACAATTTTGCATACTTCTAGCTTCAGGTCATTGATAACTTCATTCCTGAATTGGTCTATGAGGCTCTCTATATGGCACTTTATGTCTATTGGTGCGGTGTCTGCTATTGCCTGTTTCTCAGAGTTGGGGGCCGAGGAGCCTTTCTTGTTGCTGCCTCTTCCCATATTCCCTGTTCCTTATATATGCAAGCTTATATGAGAGGCCCAGCTTCTCTCCCTGTCAGCCACAGCCTGATTGAATTGCGCCGGTTAGGTGTTCCCACTCACCTCTGCGCACCAGGCAGCCTACGCGGGGCCCGCCCCTCCCTGCCTCCATCGGGCTCTGGGATCTGGGTTGGCCCAGCCTACGGGGTCCGCCAGCAGCGTCACACAGGCCAGGCACTTTTCACCAATCCTGCCCGAGAGGGGAATGTGTGGCTGGAGTCGCCACCGCGCCCTGCTCCCGCAGGACTGCTCGGGCCCAGAAAGTCCGCTGGACTCAAACTGTGGTCGAGTGTCAGTTTCTCTCACTGACCTCGCCACAAGTCAGAACATGCCTCCCTGCCCGTCCTGTTTTCGACTCCGTTCGCAGACTCCCGTTCTCAGAGTTTCTGTGTGTCTCTCTCCTTCCTGAGCCAATATGGAGGCAGCCAGCCACCGCGCGGTGGGAAACCCAACTCGCGGCTTCCAATGGCGCGGGGTCCAGCAGAGGCTTTTCTGTTCCTGTTTTAGCACCAGGACTGCATTCCAAGTTGGTTTCTCTCAGCCGACTTCGTTCCTGAGTCAGCAGAGCATAACTCCACCTGCTTATGTCTCTTTAGTCCGCACCATACCTGGCTTCTGAGCCTAGTTTTTCAGAGAGCCTCCGGTAGTTGCTGTTATCTGTCCGCCATGTTCTCCCGGAAGAATAGTTATATTTTTTAAATTTAGATGGGCTTTTTCAAGTAGAAGACGAATTTTTTTTTCTGTTTTTTGCAACAATCTTGCAAGACTGAATCTGTTTCTAGTTTAGTCAGCCAGAGGTACAAGCAAGAAACAGTGGTCCATGAATAAATAAATGAATATGCTCATCAGGTGTCTCAGTATTAAAAATCTGGAGAAACAATTTCCACTTTTGATCTGTGTTACTTCTCGATTGCTGGATACACCTATATTTCTTGAAACACTAACATTGTTGGGATGGCAGGTTTTTCCCAAGTAACAGCTACCCAAACCAGTTTCTGAAGGGTCTAGTGTAAAACCAGAGGACTGCAGCTGCACCAGGCAAATGTGTATAGCACTTAGGAAAATCAAAATGGAAATTAATGCTCTTAATTTCATGCCATTGCTATTGAAGCAACAGCAATACAAAATATACAAGACGGGTCACATGACTGAGGGTAGACTTGAAAAGTTTTGTTTGTGCTATTACACAAAACCATGGAAAAAGCAGAAAAAGGCGAAGGTCATTGGCGGACGTAAACATCCCTATTTGGATTTATGATGGCTCTGCAGTTAGTTGCAGTCATTGTGGTCCTGCTCTCGATCTATGTCCCTGGAGCGGTGTCGAGATTCTCTGTGTCTGTGGTCACTGCTCCCATGGGTCTCATCTCGGTGGTTGTGATCACAATGTGGGGCATAGTGGTCCATGTGTTCACGGGAATAATCTTTTGGCTGCAAGTAGGCAGAGTCTCCACTCTCCTGAGTTTCAGAGTCAAATGTCTCTTGCCTGGAGAGGCCTTGACTCATACTGCTGCGATGCTTGTGATGTGGGGCTGAGGAGGAGGAATGGAGGTGGGATTTTGACAGGTTCCAAGCAAGATTCTTCTTCAGGTTGGGAAGCTGACCAATCAGGAGTGGAGCAATCAGTCACCTGATCACCTGGAGAACCCTGGTAACAAAAGGAACATAACTGGGCTGACCTTGGGCTTAACCAAGGTCAGAGTATAAAGAACTAAGTGGTCATCATGCAAAGACATTCAAGTGTAGTCCTTTGAAAGGATCTAAAATGCTGAAATGAAGTCTAGTGTAGCTCAGTTGCTTAATTCCTTTAATATCCAGTGGCATCAGTATGGTTTGTATTGTGTTATATTGGGCTTTATTAAGTGCCTGAAACAGTACACATAGTAATCAGTTTATTTTATTATTAAGAATAAGTGAAGAAGGGTTACTGCTCTATTACATATTCTTTTGTTGAAATACACATGCAAGAGATTTTTCTATACGTGAACATAAACTTTCCTACCTCTGCTTGAACATAGATTAACAAAAACCACAATTAAAATAAAATACATGTGTGACACTTGATGGAACATCACTCCTCCAGGACCTTTACATACACTGTTTAATTCAGTAACCTAGGAGATAAGGTGATCTAAAGGAAAAAAAGACAAAAGATGTGACAGTCACAACAGATTTTAATTATTGCTAGGGTATCCTTACTGTTCTTAAGGCCAGCAAGCCAAGACGTAAGTTCACCTGAATTGTACATGCAGTTTCAGGTGGATCCAGGCCTTGAATGCAGACAGTTTACTGTCTCAAGGACCACACAGTTAGTTTTAAAAGTCTGTAGTATCGGGCTAGGGATTTAGCTCAGTGGCATAAGTGCCTGCTTGACAACTGCAAGTTGTGAGTTTAATCCCTGGGACAAAAAAAAAAAAAGGTCCATAATATGTTGTATTTATTGTGCTTTCTTAGATGTACAACATACTGTGAACATTTTTAACTAAGTGACTCATGATGTGAGCCATACTTTCAATACTGTTAAGATACTGGAGCATGCACCAAGCTGGCTGATCTCAGTGGAAGACCTCCAAATGATATAGGGGAGTGAAACTCCTGACCTACTATGTCAGGAGGAACAAAACACAGTTGACAAAGAATGCTCTAAAGGGGTGATACCAGTTTCCCCAGCACTTCTCCAAAGAGGTGCAAAGCTTAATCAAGGGGCTTGTCAACCCTGACCCAAGCATGCGCTCTACCTTGGAGCAAGTAAGGCATCATCCATGGCTTCGGCTGGAATCTATCCCTTGTCATCCTCCTCAACTGCTCCCCAAAGCCACAGAAAGGGCAATACTGCACATTATGGCTGGGAAGGGGTACAACCGGCTGAAGGTGAATTCGTGTTCTCTAAAATCAAAGAGTAAATTTTAGGAACAATAGAGGTAAAGAGTAAAATATATTTATTGAGAGAAAGCAAGCTTCTGTCTGAGAGAGACAGGAGGAGTCCCAAGCAGTGGGACTCTGTCTTTCCCAGGGACGTTTATAGAGGAAAATCATGGGATGAGATGGACTTGTGGGCAAAACTGGGAACTCACAAGGCAGATGGGCATAAGGTAGGGCAGAACTATGGTTAACCAATAAGATTAATAGTTCAGGTAAATTCATTAAATTGGGGACAAATGGGGAAGTGAGCCACTTAGAAAGCAGGCATTCTTAGAGAGCAGTGAATCTTCCCTAGGGGGTTGGAATGGTGACTCCTGACTTCCGCGGGGTGCTAAGAAGCTATTTAGAACATCAGTCCTTATGGATGTATTTGTTTGATCTTTTGTCTTGAGGTTTGGCCCACAGCAGGAGGTGCCTGTCTCCCCTTAGCTGCAAGGTATCTGAGCTCCTGCACTGGCTCCTTCAGGACCTAGCCCTGTCTCCCTGCCTATAGTATTTCTAGCTAACTCAGGGCCCCGAAACACTACTGCAGGCTTGCTGGGATCTGACAGCAAGCAGCTGGGCTTGGAGTGCCTCCACTGTCTTCTCTGCACTGGACACTGCAATAAGACCACAGACCGCAGAGGCCTGCCACAGGTTTAAAGTCAGAGAACTTTTTGTCTTTGTGTTTTGTTTTTCCTGCCTGTGTACATTGTTCTCAGCTTTTGTATTTTTCTCTCTTTTTTGGTCCTGCTTTTTGCTCCTGTTTTATCACTCGTTTTCTAAGGCCTGGTAATCTCCCTTTGTACTTCAGTCTTCTTATCTCTCTTTTATTTTTCTATATTTTCTTGGTATCCCTAATAAATTTTCTCCCTTTAGGGCAAATTGCTCTACTGAGTATATTCTTACTGTATATAATATTCTGCTTTGCCTTATAGTTGGCTGTGTAACTACAAATCTCATACCTGTGATTAAAGCAGGCATGTCCTTGGTCATAAGAGTTTATCATTTCCTGGCTGTGTTGGTTGCAGTTGTTATAGCTGATTGTACTATGTTAGCCAAAGTGACAGAGTTATTGGCATCAACTGATCTTCTTTGAACACCACCACCTCAGTTGTCTGAGGGGCACAAACAATCCTGTAGTTCTGGACTACAGAACTATAAGAACTGGGTGCTGGGCCAAACAGGCAGCAGCCCTTCATTCCTACCGAACTGAAGAGGCAGGGCTGGGGATGGAGCTCAGTGGCACAGCTCCTGCCTGGCAAACACAAGACCCTGAGTTTGACTCCCAGTACCAAAAAAGAAATTCCATAGTTTCTCGTTTTGAAAAAAAAAAAAAAAAAAAAAAAAGTTCCTTTAAGAAAAGAAGAGGCAAAATCTTGGGATGACAGAATCCAAAGCCAGCTACCCCTACAGAACATCTCTGAAAATAGTCATTTCCTAAAGAGGTCCCAATACTAGTAATAAACTACTGACCATAAGCAATTTACAAGCCTCAAGGCAGAAAACAAGTACAAAGATAGAAAATGAGAAAATGCAGAAGCAAGATGCACCATGACATGTGTTATGTGCATGTTCCAACTTGCCCTGAACACTCTCTGGTTCAGATCCTGCCCCAGGTGCTGCAAACACAGACCACAGTTTGGAAGCCACGAATGTCTTCTCTTTACCAAATGTCACTGTTCCCACGGTGGCAAGCAACACCCTCACGTGTGGAGATTTCTCTTGTTCCAAACTCTGTCCCCACAACACGCATGCCTGTGTGCCCTCAAGGCTGGATATGAGTCTCTGTTTACTGACACAAGACTTCAATGGGCTCCTTTCAAAGGCTTGCAGACACAGACTTGGGGACAGCATTCAGAAGACCAGGGTTTGGGTCCATGTCTCTTCATGGGGATGTGTGGGGGTGATGGTAGATGACCCCTTGCTCTTCCCAGAACACACCCTACTTCCAGGCACAATAAGGGAGGTAGTGGTCAGGTGTGGTCAGGTCCATGGTACCCAGGTCTCCCTGCATCCTCATGGGAGGTTGTGGTCAGGTCCATGGTGCCCAGCCCTCCCTGTCCCTGGGACAGCCTCCCTCAGACAGCAGGATACAAGCCAGGTGACTCTCCCCCCTGCTCCTCCTGTCTTCCTCTCACTGGCTCTCAGCTCCTGGTGCCTGTGCAGCCTTCCCATGCTGTGCACCAACCCCTCCCTCTGCTTCTCACCCACAGGATACACTAGTGATCTTGACTCCTCCTCTCCCCTCCAGCTCCCTGCACAAAGGGCTGCAAGGCAACTCACTGTGGCTTCCACTTGCGTGGCTGACCTCGCTGTCAGGATGACCACGTCCATAGGAGGGATCATGGATCTGCACTACAAATGCAAGGAGACATGTGTAATGCACGCTCACTGGGAAACACAGCATACAGTGGTGGCTGTGGTCACTCCAGCCTCCTCTGCAGCAGACCCCACTGCAACTCCTCCTACCCACACCTGGCCTCTGCCCACACCTTCCCTTCTCCCTCCCCTCCCTACAGTTCTTCCCTGACAGTTGAAAATGATATCGAGACACAGCACATTCTGAGGAAGCAGCCGGACCACTCAGACTCCTTGAGTGACCTCTGGTTCTCTACTGTGCAGTACTTACCCTCGACCACCTTGTGTTTGTGACACTTGCATGTCGATACGGGGCAGCAGCACAGGGCCCTTAGGCAGTCTCTCATGGTTCTCTTGACAGTTTTCCAGCCCCACCTCCTACTGCTGACAGGGGCTGGGGCAGCAGTGAAGGCAGCATTTGGAGTCCCAGGGCTGTGCTGGAAGGACTCACCGGGAGAGGCAGGGTTGGGCTGCCAGTATGACTCAGTAGGGGCACGGCTGGTTTTACAGGACTTGATGGGAACAGCAGGGCTTGGTTGACGGGATGCTTTAGGGGTAGCAGGCCCTGAATGGTAGGACTTGATGGAAGAAGCAGGGCTTGGTTGACGGGATGCTTTAGGGGTAGCAGGTCCTGGATAGTAGGACTTGATGGGAGAAGCAGGGCTTGGTTGACGGGATGCTTTAGGGGTAGCAGGTCCTGGATAGTAGGACTTGATGGAAGAAGCAGGGCTTGGTTGGCGGGATGCTTTAGGGGTAGCAGGTTCTGAATGGTAGGACTTGATGGGAGAAGCAGGGCTTGGTTGACGGGATGCTTTAGGGGTAGCAGGCCCTGAATGGTAGGACTTGATGGAAGAAGCAGGGCTTGGTTGACGGGATGCTTTAGGGGTAGCAGGTCCTGGATAGTAGGACTTGATGGGAGAAGCAGGGCTTGGTTGACGGGATGCTTTAGGGGTAGCAGGTCCTGGATAGTAGGACTTGATGGAAGAAGCAGGGCTTGGTTGGCGGGATGCTTTAGGGGTAGCAGGTTCTGAATGGTAGGACTTGATGGGAGAAGCAGGGCTTGGTTGACGGGATGCTTTAGGGGTAGCAGGCCCTGAATGGTAGGACTTGATGGAAGAAGCAGGGCTTGGTTGACGGGATGCTTTAGGGGTAGCAGGTCCTGGATGATAGGACTTGATGGGAGAAGCAGGGCTTGGTTGACGGGATGCTTTAGGGGTAGCAGGTCCTGTATAGTAGGACTTGGGAGAAGCAGGGCTTGGTTGACGGGATGCTTTAGGGGTAGCAGGTTCTGGATGATAGGACTTGATGGGAGAAGCAGGGCCTGGCTGGCCAGAGGTACCAATAAAGTTTGGACCGGGCTGGCAGGATGTGCGAGCAGGGGGAGTCCTGCTGATGTCAGTTGGCAGGGAGACTGTCTTCCTTTGCTGGCCGAGAGGCTTCACCTCGGGGAGGAAGTGGCCAGTGAAGAGGCAGGGCTCACTGGCCCTCCTAGCTGGTGGGGCAGCCACAGGGGGAGGAGATGCAGATAGCAGATTGTCACCTTTGTTTGTGGACTGTTCAAACAGATGTTCAGCCTCACGTTTGTGTGTGGGCTTCACCTCAGACCCGAAGTGGAATTTCCGGAGTGCCATGCCCCGTAGTAGCAGGAAGGGCGCCATGTACCGATTGTATTTTCTGTACTTCACTGCATCAATCACCTTCAGCGGGTTGTACCCCTTCCCATCCAAAAAGTCCACTATTGCCCTTTCTTTGGCTTTGGGGAGCAGTTGAGGAGGTCGACAAGGGACAGATTCAAGCCGAAGCCATGGATGCTGCCTTACTTGCTCCAAGGTAGGACGCATGCTAGGGTCAGGGTTGAGAAGACCCTTAATTAAGCTTTGCACCTCTTTGGAGAAGTGCTGGGGAAACTGGTATTGCCCCTTTAGGGCATTCTTCATCAATTCTGTTTTGGTCCCACTAAATGGGCGTACCCCAGCGACCATCTCAAATAAAATTACCCCTAAAGACCAAATGTCCAGTGGTGGGCCTTGGTATTTCTTTTGTAAGAATAACTCTGGGGCAGCATACTGTAGGGTGCATCCACACGCGGTCACCTCCTGGCCAGGAAGGAACCTGAAAGCCAAGCCAAAATCGCTGAGCTTGGGGTGGCCTTCACGGTCCATTAATATGTTCGCCGGTTTCAAGTCCCCATGGATGATGCCGCTGTCATGGCAGTACTGCACAGCCTCCAGGAGTTCTCGGAATATCAGCCGGGCCTTCTCTTCCTCCAGCTTCTGTGTCTCAGCAAACTTGATAAAGCGCTGCAGGTCTTTCCCGCGCGCATACTCCAACACCAGGAACACACAGGTACTATTTTCTGACACTTCCAGCAACTTGATGATATTGGGGTGCTGAAGGTCCTTTAGGATGCTGACCTCCCGTATAATAGCAGTAGGCCTCAACTTCTCCTTTTGAAGTACCTTCACAGCTACCAGCATCCCTGTGCACACATGTTCAGCGAGAACCACCTTGGCAAAGTGACCCTCACCAAGGGGCAACAGCATGTCATAGTCCTCAAAGAATGTTCCTGTGGACGATGACATGACGTCCAGCAAAGACGTTTTACACGCCACAAATGATGCCTTGATGGAACTAGACTTTATAAAATCAATTATCAAAATTTCGAATCTCAAATCACCAACTACTCTCCAAACACCACTCCACTTCACCCACAAAGGGTCTCTGGGCTGAAAACCCTACCTTATACAGCTATCTGCTGTGACCTCACAGGGGATCTTGTGAAGTCATGGTACCAGTGGGCCCAGGCAGAGCTGGTCACCTCCACTTCACCCCTCACACTCTTGGCCATGAGGGTCTTTTGTTTCTAACAGAAAAATGTTACAAAATGTCTTACTAATGTGAGTTATGGAGATTGACACTTGAGTTTTTGAAATTCAAACCTGTAGGATGCTTCAATATCCCTTTTGTTTCTGTTCTGAGAATCTGTTCTCAGCATCTGTAATACCTCTTACATTTAGAGATCCCATGATGTCTACACTCAGCATCTCCAGTTCCTTTTGCTCTTAATTCTTACTGGTGTCAAAGTGATGCTGCAACTTCACTTACATTAGAATAACGTAACGGTCAGTGTATAAAATATGACAAATAAATTAATGCCTGTGCAGCTGACAGCAATTCCCCAAAAACATAGTCATTAGACTTATCCTCAAAATCCTTGGAGAGCAGCGGCAAGCACAGTCACAGAAAGGACACCCAAGAGTTGGAGACACATTTATTTACACCAACGGGCACTGATTGGTACATTCCCAGAATATCAGGCCCTGATCTCTGATGGTCTGAGGCCTGTATAGGATAAGCAAGTGGGGAGTACAGGGGCAAAATGGCTTGTTGATTGGGGCTGGTTTATGCAGTGTGCATCACAGTGACCAGCTAGGCATCATAGTGACCAGCCGTTTCTTAGAGACAGAACTGTTACCTGGACAACTAAGAAACTGCAGTATACTGACTGGGGTGCGGGATATTCTGTTACAGGAGGACAGAAGGAAACAGGTGGACATGTGCTGTGTGAATGAAACAGTGAAACAAAACAAAAAGCTCTCTCAACTAAGCATTTTACATCCAGCAAAACTGTCCTTAAAATGAGGGGGAAAGCTCAGACATTCCTAGATGCAAGCACTGAAGAATGTCCGTCCTTCCTACTAGGCCTGCCTTGGGTAGAGGAGTCCCTTAGGTTGAAATGGAAGAACCAGCTCTGGTCCCACATGCCTGTGATCCAGCACTCAGGAGGCTGAGGCAAGATGATCACTGTGAGTTCAAGGCCAGCCTGGGCTACAGAGCAAGACCCTGGCTCACAAAGGAGAATTTTTTTGCAGGAACTCAAGTCTGAAGAAAAGTCTGTTAAAGCTGAATAGGTGGACCTTTATGAAAATCAGGACTGGTTTTGTATTCTACATGTTAGAGGCTCACATATTGAAAAGAAAACAATGCACCCTGTAGTACTGTATTTCCTGAGACACAGTGTGGCATACGTGGAGGAAACTACAAACTCACTCCCCAGATGTGGGGCAGCATCCTGTATATGGCTATGTTTAACTGCCACGGATTCACACCACCCTGGGGTGGCCTTGGGATTTTCAAAGTTATATCCACGGCATCCTCAAAGAAAACATAAGTAGCTTTTACACAGGTGACGAGCCCATTGACTCCAAAACGAATGACTCCTGCAGAAGAGCGGGACAGCTGCTGCTGGAGTGGGGACAGCCACGCCCAAGCCTCTCTCCCAGTCAGCAGCATTCGCAGACTGTGGAGCGACAACCAGGCCTCACAAGGGGGTGGGCCCTGCCTGGAAACCATGTCATTTTCATTGCTTTGTTGGTTGGGTTTTATTCTTTCATTTTGTTTGATTATATTAAATCTGATGCCATGAACAACTGTTCAAAAGATAGCAAGACGTGTTATGGTAGCCATTCTGGACTTACTGTGAGCTTGTTTTGAAGTCCTTTACTGCAGTCATTGTTTTGTGTTTGTTGTTTCTGCTCTATTCTGTTGTTTGATTTTTACCAGGTCCAAAGGTATCTGCAGCTATTTTGAAGATGATAGAGGCATTATGGTAACTATTGCTGATTTTCTAAGTTTTAAAGACCTGTATCACTTATACTGGTTTATCTTGATCGGTTTTATTCTGTTTTATTTTCCTTGGTTTTATCCTCTTTTTAGGCCAGGGATTCAACTCAGCAGCATAAGATCTGTCTGGCAAGTGTGAGGTCCTGAGTTTGATCCCTGATACGAAAAACATAAAATAAAATAAAATTTTAAAAAATAAAGAAGAAGAAGACGAAAAAGAGCAAGGACAAGATGCTGCAAGCTCATGAAACAGCCACCTGACAGAGGCAAACTCTTGCAAGCTCTAATTCCCTTCTAATGAAGGGGCAGTGTCTTCCCAATCAAAAGCAGAGACTGGGAGACGAGATGGGAAACCTCACCCAATTAGATGCAAAGCAAGAAGGTAGAAAAAGTACAAAGTAAAAGTCCTCTGTGCCAAATACAGAAGAGTTGGCCACTCTACTGTTGGAGTGGGTCTTTGGTTAAGAAAAGGTTTCAGGAGACACAGGGACATATTAGAGTGTAGGTAGCAACATAACTACATGCAGCAGGCCTATCCTATACCAGTAAATTTTACTTTACTGCAATAGCCAGCTGGGCATGTCACTACCTTCCCCTGAGGGACACTGGAAAGCAGTTTATGTGATTACCAACTTGCTGTGTCAAACAATGAGGTGTGTGAGCAAGTGCAAAAGTCTCAAAATGGGATTTTCACCCACGTTGTGCTCCATCTAACTGCTTTTGTGTGTTTATTCAAGCATCAAAGAGGGTTCAATAATCCCCCATTACTCCAGGATTTGTCTTTTTAAAAGCTTTCTTTTGATTTTTCTGGTGGAAATAGCCCAGTTCTGTACAATGGCATGTGAAAACTATATCTTGGAGGAGGTCACAAGTGAATGAATCGTCAGATTACTCATGCATGAGTGATGAAGATGATCCATTATGACAAAACACTTTCATAACAGAAGAGTGTTGTGGATGGATGGATGTCGATGAAGAGGAGGAAGAGGACTTTGAAATTGGCCATGTGAGTCAAACTTCCTGGGACAGTGAAGTGGAGCAAAGATCAACTGATACTGATACTGACCTCCTTTGTTAAGATGACAAAACAATGTGAATACATATTTGACTAGTGAAAATGTTGCAAAATGGCCACATAACCAAATGAAATGATCTAATGTTAATACTAAGTCCAAAAATATAGTGAGGGACTTGGCAAGAGTGAAATGTATTGGACGAATGCTGATACTGCTATTCAAAGTTGGAAATTTTAACACATGAAATGTTACAAGATTCTGTGAAATATAGAGGTTAAAATTCAAGTAAAGTGTTCTCTATGCACCATTAGCCATATTCAAAAATGTTTTATGACATGGTGCTGAACTGAAAGCATTTATGGATCTGTGTGCTTAGGAGGGATTTCTCATAGTGATTGCAGGAATGTAAAGGCCTCATGGAAAATGATGGGTCAACTCTGGCATAATGCATGCCCTTGTGCATGTGAGGACTTTTTGTGCTTTCAATTTAGACATTTAGCTTGAACTTAGCCACAAGGTGTTTATTCATAGAATAATAAACCAGATGATGTTATGAACAGAAATGTTCTTATGGTTTGGGACTACAGTTCATATGAGATTATTTACAGCAGAGAAAAATCCAGCTTTTCTTGTCAGTGAATTATGTGAAGTACTGTGGAGTGCACTGGTGAGCTGACAGGTGAACAGGCACACACAGCTTCCTAGATCCACGATGATAAGAGGAAAACAAAAAGATTTCAACTGTGTCCTACAAGAAAATACAGGAAAACAAAACATGCTATCAGTGGAAGTGTCCCTCGTGTATGGAACATGCAAGACTGCCTTGGGTATGGCAAGTGCAAAGACTGCTTTGGATATGACAGTTGAAGCAAAGCTTATTTATGTGGTAGATTTTTGTTTCTGTTTACATTGCAGTTCACATAGGTTTCTATTTTTGATGTTATCTTTGATGTGAAAATATATTGATGTGTATTCTTTTTTTTTTTTTTTTTTTTTTTTGTCTTTTTCATTTTTTTATCGGTACCGGGGATTGAACTCATGACCGCCTGCTTGCAAGGCAGGTGCTTATGGTGCTGAGCTAAACCCCCAGCCCCATTGATGTGTATTCTAAAGGCACAACACACAGTAAGAATTTAAGAACTTCTTTTGATATTTTATGTTCCTGTTGGCTACACACTCTATAGCACAATAACCTTGACAAAACAGCAAAACCATTGAGATATCAAGTACATCCTACAAAAAGAGTAGGACAGCAAAACGTGTGCTCCCAGTGTGAGTATTATGTGTCTATGGAATACGCTGTGGTCATGTGCACAGACTGATTTAGATGTGATAATTGAAGTGAAGATTACTTTTTTGTAAATTGCTGTTGGTATTTTCAGTGTAATTTGTATAGGAATATTTTTGTTATTTTTTGTAGACTTTATGCCAAAAAATTGTTGATGTTTTAAATTTTGATGCTTTATTATAAACACTCAATAAATATTAAAAATTCAATACTTTATATTTTTTTGTTTTTTTTCCTGGTAAGCCACTGTGTAATATAACATCACTTATAAAAGTAAAGTTAATAACTCATCAATAGAAATATTCTAAAGAATGAGTGTATGTCTGGTAAACCTATGTTTCTGCACCTTTATGACAAAGTTAGTGTTATGCTCCTGAAATAGTCAAGACCAGGAAAGTTTGCAGGGATGCTGTTCACAGTGTCATCATCTAACCTTGAAGACTCCTCTGGAGGTTTCACCTACATCCTGCCATGCAGACAAGCTCTCTATCTACAGTTGCCAAATCCTGGGAGGCAACACACCTCCTGCAACTGGAGTTCAGTATTCTGTCTCTGAGGTGAACATCAAGACGGTCATACATGTGCCAGGCCCTGGGAGAACTCCTGCTCGTCCTCTGAGAGTTCAGGGAAATCCCTGGGCACTGAGATCACTGCTCCTCTAAGCCAGGGCCTCCCAGTCACTTCTCCTGTTTCTACACTAACAGTGTCCAACAATCTGACAGTTTCAAGGCCAGGGAAGCTAGAGAGGCCTTACAGCCAGGCCATCCACAGTGTGTTTCAGACAGGACTGGCTGGGCTCCAGCGAGGGAAGTGGTTGCCCTGAAGTCCTGCAGAGTGGTTTTGAAAGAGAGTTTTGTAGGATATATCACCTGGGTTGGATGTTGCTTTCTTTTATGTGTTGAAATACCTCACTCCAAGCTCTCTTGGTCTTAATGGTTTGTGTTGAGAAGTGTGCTGTATTTCTAATGGTTTTACATTTATAAGTGATTCCTTGCTTTTCTTTATGAGGTTATAAGATTCTGTTCTCACCTTGGACTTCCCAGGTATTGACTGTCATATGTCATGGGGAGATCCTTTTCTGATTGTGGCTACTTGGGGTTTCATCTGTCTTTCTTATCTGCATGTCAAGTTACTTCCCCATATTCAGAAAGTTTTCTGCTATTGTTTCTGTCACAGATTTTTATGCCATCTGTGCTGTCTTGTGGTTTTTCACTTATTCCAGTTAGTTGTCTGTGCACCATCTAATAGCTGTTGGATCTACTGTCCATGTTCCAGTTTTGTAAGGTGTCCCTGAGTATTTGGGCACTGACACCAGCCCTGTCTTCTAACTCCAGGGCTCTGTCCTTGTGGTCATTTCTGTTGCCCACACTTTGGATACAAGTTTAATTCTCTAGGATTTCTGTTTGGTACCATTTATGGACTCAAATTCGTTGCTAAGTCACTCATTTACGTTGTGTATCATGTCTTTTTTTTAGCTCAGGTAATTTTGTAGTAGTGTATTTTGTAAATGTACTGATCATTCTGTTGAATTTAAGCTTTTATCACCTTGAATAATTCAGATGATAATTCACTGTCACTACTGTGGAAATCTCTTTAGTTAGTGCTTTTCAGTGATGCTCTAAGAGGTGTTTCTCTCCATTGTTTAAGTTTTAAGAACACTTGTGTCTGTTCTTTTCAAGGGTATTGATGTGTAGTTATCTCTCTGATACTTGTGTCTGCTCTGAATAATCACAATAACAGTGACCTCATAAACTGGGAAATTTTGCTCCTCAAATTCCTATGACAGTGTATAAAACTGATACTTCTTCTACCTTCAGTGTTTGGTAAAATTCAGCAGTGAAGCTCATCAAGCCTGAAGTTACTCAGAAAGGTCTAACGAATTCAGTGTCTTCCATGGAAATGAGGCACAGGCCCATAGACTTGGGCCCTTCTTGTCTTTCAGGAAATTTTTTCCCTGCATCAAAGCTTTCAAACATATCCGCTAACATTCTCTCCTTTGTTTTAGGTTATATTTTTGGCCCTGGGAATTGAACTCAGGGCCTTGCGCTTGCCGGGCAGGCACTTTGTCACTGAGCTCCATTCCCATGCTTCCTCTTAACTGTTTACTCTTTCAGGTTCTAGGTAAATAGTGCTGTCCCTAGTGTTAATTTCTAAACGTATTTCATCATAGTGAGACAAAATTCTCTGCATAATTGAAATTCTTTTAAATTGATTGGGGTTTATTTTGTGACTGTGTTGGAAACATTTCCTCCATGTACAGCAGTGAATACTGCACTGCTGTTTGGATGGGATGCTTCTGTCAGTGGCAGTTGGTATAAGTTTGTCCATAATATACAACCTTTTTTACCACAGGAACATGGCGGATAGATAGCAGCAGCCTCTGAGGCTCTCGGAGAAACTGCACTTGAAATCTAGGAATGGTGCAGGACAGGAAGATCCAGGCAAGGGGGGATATTCTTTGCTGACCCAGGAATGAACTAAATTAAGGGAAACCATCTGGAAATGCAATCCTGGCAAGATAGCAGGCACAGATAAGGTCTCAGCACGGAAGCTGGACCCGCACCACTGGAAACTGCAATTTGAATTACCTGCAGCTGCTGTTGCATCCCGGTCGGCACAGCAGGGAGAGAGGCGCAAAACCTCGGAGAGTGAGAAGCGTTGAAAGGAGATGGGAGCAGGACTGGCCAGTGCCCTGCATCGACCTGCCAGTGAATTGGACCCTTACATAGAGAAGGAGGCTTCAGCAGAGTACATACTCGGACCAGGCAGACTTCCCGGAACAAGAAGCTGCAGTGACTTCAGTCACATATCCCCCTCTCAAGCGGGATTGGTGGGGAGTGCCTGGCCTGTGAGAAGCCGCTGGCTGAGACCCAATAGGATAGCCCAACTCAGGTCCCAGTACCTGAAGGCGCACCCTAGCAGTGAAGCCTTGGGGGTAGGTTGACCTGGAGGGGCGGGCCCAGAAGAGGCTGCCCAGGTCTGTGTCTCCCTAGTACACTGCAGTGGGCAGGAACACCTAGCCGTCAATTCAAACAGACTGTGGCTGACAGGGAAGGAAGCTGGGCCTCCTATACACGCTTAATATAAGGAACAAAGAATATGGGAAGAGGGAGCAACAAGAAAGGGTCCTCAGTCCCCAATCCCGAGAAACACGCAATAGTAGACATGGGACCAATAGATATAAAGTGCTATCTCCAGAGCCTCATAGAGGAGTTCAGGAATGAAGTTATGAATGACCCGAAGCTAGACATAAGCAGAATAGTTAGAGAAATGCTAAGTACCGCCCAGGAAAAAACAGATGGTACAATGGAAGAACAGAAAAAAAGGGGAGAATTGTTTGATGGAGAAAATAGAGAAAACATAGAATACATGAAGGAGGTTCAAAGAGATTACAAGGAAACTAAAAACTCTATTGAAAACTGGCATAACAGCTTGAAAGAAACTAAGGACAGATTATCTGAACTGGAGGGCAGATTTGTAATATGGGAGCATGTAATGAAAAACTTCTTAAAAATAACAAAAAAACAAACAGCAACAATACAAAAACTAGAAGATGATAAGAGGATCTATAACTTAAGAATTAAGAATGTAAGAGAAGAATTGGGGACACAAACAAATAGACTCAAAAGCTATTCACAGAAATAATCCAAGAGAATTTCCCTAATTTGGCAAATGGTAAAGATACTCAGATATATGAGGCATACAGGACCCCAGCAATCTACAACCCAAACAGAGCTACACCCAGGCACATAATAATCAAAATTCCAGAAATCCAATATAAGAACAGAATATTAAAAGCTGTCAGAGACAAGAAACAGATCACTTACAAAGGAACACCCATCAAAATTACAGCAGACTTCTCGGCACAAACCATCAAATCACGAAGAGCATGGGGGGAAATAATTCAAGCTTTGAAAGATAATAACCTCCAGGCAAGATTGATGTATCCTGCACAACTGTCCCTAGAAATTGATGGAAAAACAAGGTGCTTCCAGGATAAAGAGGAACTAGGGGAATTTGCAACCACTAATTCAACTCTACAGAGAATACTGCAGGATAGTCTAAAAAAAGAAAATACCAAGATTCCAGAAATAGTGGCTGAGAGGCCACAATGAATGGAGCAGAAAACAAAATGAAGAAGACAAACTGACAACAAAGGACTGAAAAAGAGCTCAACAGAAATGAGGTAGAGAAGATTGGAAGGTAGGAACAGCAATTTTGGAGAAAACGAGACATCATAATAGCTAGTGCTGATTTAGTATCATCTTGTTTTGAAGTCCCATCAAATGTGTATTCTTCAGTCTCCATTGGTGTTAAAAGGTTGTATCTTATTGGATTTTATTATATATGATAGTATAAGCAAAAACTTTTATAGACAAGGAGTTTATATAGAAACCATTGTTCATTTTCTGTCAATTGGTTCTAAATACCCTGCAATAATGTCATTCTCTTGAATGGTTTTATAGTGTCGTGATATCTTTGGTGCTACAGTATAAGAAGTTATACTCAAAGATTTCAAGGAAAGAGACACTATGGTAACTATTTTTATGTCAGGATATCTTGTGGTGAAACACTGGTTTGCTTAAATGGTTATGATTTGACCTGCGCTGTTCTGTTGTTAGGCCCTCTTTTATCTCAGTCCCCCCCCCCTTTTTTAAATTATTTACTTTTTTAATTTTCTTTTTTTAATTAAGGGAAAATAAATAAAAAATAGCAGGGTACATTATAGTAACCTACTTTGATTTCCTATTAACTTGATTTGAAATCCTGTATTGCCCTCACCATCTTGTTTTGACTGATTTTTCCCCTATTCTGCTTTGCTTGATAGTACCAATATCGAAAGTATAGGCATAACTGTGAACACAATAAGAATCATTATGATGCCCATTCTGATTGACTATTATTTTCTTTTAAAATCCTGTACTGTCTCCAGTGCTTTGGTTTTATTCTTTACTGTTTAGTTCAATTTTATTATAACTGCCAATTCTTCTTAAAATAGCAAGAGGCAGTATGGTAACTGATAGAACTGTGGAGTGGAAGGAAGAGGAGGAGGACTGGCGGCGGCTGAAAAGATAAGAAGTATAAAATATAAGTAACCTTTATTTTGGGAATGCGGGGAGAGATACCCCTGACCCCCTGGGGCATGGCATCTCCACCCCGGGGCCAGCGATCTCTCTGTGGAACACGTGGAGTGAGGCATATAAGTAACCTCAGCCTGGGGTGGAACCTAAGGGGCATTAGGGATGCACAGGTAGCCCATTGGTCTTAGTTTGGCGCCAGAAGTAATTTCTAAAGGTGGGGGGAGATAGGAGCTCCCTGGCTTTACTGGCTACAGTATCCGGCCTGGGCCAGCAACCCTTTCATATCCCATCTTATGATTATTAGGAAAAGGGGCAAAGATTTCTCTCTTTAACTACTTCCTGCTGGCCGAGGGCACTGTACTGGAGTCTAGGGGAGTGGACGGGATGACAGTTGATGGCTAGGTAGAAGCTGGTGCCAGGAGTTTTAGCCATGACAACTTCACTGGTGAATGCACGTATGTTAGACTGAAAAACACAAAGAGACAAGATGTTATGAGGAGACATGGCACTGTCATATTTATGGACCCAAGAGAGGTAGAGGGAAAGGTATCTTTGATTTAGACATGTTATTCTATCAGGATGACGTTGAGGTGGGAACATTTTTATGGCAAGGCAGAATTCTGAAAAATTAAATGTGGGATTAGGAGGAGTGAAGTCATGAGACGTGCTTACTCCCCCATATGAAAGCATAAAAGTTAAAAGGTAGGTAGGTGTGGGGGATGAGGTGTCACTTTGTAGGCCCAACCCCCTCTAACCTGCAATTTACAATAGCCGCCCTGGTATGCGAGAAGGAGGTAGAATAGGAATGCCTGTTCTCAGTGAGCCCTCACCCTCTGGAATCCATACTGTGAGCTGGCTTTGTTTTGCAGAAGTCTTGAGGAAGTGGCTGGCCACCCTTTGTGACACTAACAGCAGACAAATTAACAACATTCTTGAGCTAATGAATTTCTTCCTGGGCTAGAGAGGTTATGAGAACTGGTTGTGATTATTTACCTCACTTAGATAGCTTTAGAATAAACATTGTAGTCTGTCACGTTGTAGCTTGCCACAAAGAATGCCTTTTCACTACTTAATTATCTGGGCTCTGTGAATTGATCGGGTTTACTATATATGAATCCTAAAATAAAGATTGTGTGTGCAGTGCAGTGCAGTGTAACGCGGTGCAGGCAGCAAAGGTGTCTCTCCTGTCTTTCTTTTCCAAGCGCTGTACCCCCCGTGTCCCGACAAGGCGTGCGTGTGTGTTTACCTTGCCCGGAGTTCAGAGTGCCCTAGACACTCACGACAAGTGGCGCCCGAATTCAGGGACTCCGAAGGTCGCTTAGGAAGGTAAGTATAATTTTATTACGGGGAAATGGGACAATCTGCTTCTTCTCCTTTCTTAAAAATTCTTAAACATTTATTATCTATATATGGCATATCGCTCAGGTCAGCTGACTTGGATATGTGTATTGATACAATTAAAGAATATAATCCTTGGTTTCCAGATGAAGGAACTTTGGATGTAGAAGTATGGAGGAAGGCAAGGGTTAGTATAGAAAGGGCTATGCAACAGGAGGAAAAGATTCCTTTACGTTTTTGGGCTATTTGGTCGGTTGTGTACTCTTTATTAAAAGCTATGGAAGATGAACATATTGTAGAAAATCTTCAACTAGAAATTAAGCCAGTTATTCAGGAATTGCCCCTCACAGAGGAGGAGCAGAATGTAGTTCAAAATGACGCTATCGCTTTAAGTAGTGAAAAGGCGTCCAAACTAAAAGTAAAATCCACTACAGCCGACTCAGCTTTAGCTGCCGCAGCAATATCAAATTATGACAATCGCCCAATTTTACAGGCTATACAACATTTAACACAAGAGGTGAAACAACTCTCCGTTAAGCAAAACCCGCCTATAGTTCCCTCTGCACCTCCTCCATCTAACCCTAATTGGAGTAAAGCCAAGCTAGCTTTGGCTGATCTACCAAAATTAGGGGATTCTGATGAGGAAAAGCCTGCCTTTGCTTTCCCTGTAATCAGGCCTCAGCCAATAGATGGAGAGGCAGTTCCCCCTAGATGGGAAGCATTTAATATGGATGATTTAGCAAAATTAAAAAAGGCTGTAACCCTTTATGGCCCTCAGGCTCATTACACTAGAGAATTAATAACATCGGTAGCAGATCACTATGGTAATCTTGCTCCTTATGATTGGAAAGCCTTGGCCAAAATTCTTTTAAAGGAGCCAGAATATTTACAGTGGCACATGTGGTTTATGGAAGGTTGTGCGGAAAAGGCAAGACAAAATGCTGACGATCGAGATCCGAATATTAGACTCCTTTCTTATCCCATGCTCTCTGGTACAGGTTTCTTTGATACTGTTGAGCATCAGGCAGGAGCTCCAAGAGAGATTCATGCTCAATTAAAAGATATTGCTTTAAAAGCTTGGGATAAAATACGGCCTAAAGGATCAGAATATGGATCTTGGGCTAAAGTTCTGCAAGGAGCCAATGAACCGTATGTTGAGTTCGTTGCAAGACTTCAAAATGTTATAGAAAAAACAGTAGTTGGACAAGACTTACAAGAGCATCTCTTAAAAATGTTAGCTTTTGAAAATGCTAATGATGAATGCAAAAGGGCTTTAATTCCAATAAAAGATACTGGAACGATTGACAATTTTATAAAACAATGTAAAGATTTAAATTCAGAATCTAGGAAAATGCAACTGTTTGCTGAGACCATGGCAACCACGTGGACTAATTGGCAATCTAAAAAGGAACAGTCTTTAAAATGTTTTAATTGTGGTCAGATAGGACATGTAAAGAGGGCCTGTCCAAAACTTGTAGGCAATGATCAAAAAAAGAGATCTAGAGCTCCCGGCTTATGTCCAAAATGTAAGAAGGGAAATCATTGGGCTCGTGAATGCAGGAGTAAACAAGTTAATTCAGCTGAACAAAAGGGAAACGGGAGAACGGGCCCTACCCCGGGCCCCGGACAAATCAATGGGGTAAATCTACCGTATTCTCCCTACAGCCAGCCACCCAACACAGTGCCGCGGTGGACATACCAGCCTTAAAAGATGTAGAATTAAGAGGAGGACAATCTCCCGTGAGAATTCCTACAGGAATTTTTGGTCCTCTGCCTGCGGGAACTTTTGGCTTGCTCACGGGTAGATCTAGTTTAAATCAAAAAGGCATTACTGTTCACTTAGGAATTATAGATGCAGATTATACTGGAGAAATTCAGATTCTGATGTCCTCACTTACAGATTATAAATTATTAAAGGGAGAACGTATAGCTCAACTCATTTTACTGCCTTATATCCCAATAGGATCCTCTGTTGTTCAGCGAACAGGAGGGTTCGGCAGCACTAACCCTATTAATGTAATGTGGACAGCTAAATTATCTCAACAACAACCTCTTATTAATATTTTTATTGAGCATAAGAAAATTCAGGCTCTTATAGATACAGGCTCGGATATTACTATTGTTAAACCTACTGATTGGCCTTCTCATATTACTTATACTATTATTCCATGTAATATAAAAGGAGTAAGTAAAACTCCAGTAAATACAATTGGACAAGCCACAATGCATATACATATAAAAAATGAAGAGGGTCAAGTTGCTGTTATTAAACCTTATATCTTAGAGGTGCCAGTTTCTATTTTAGGAAGAGATGTATTAGAACAATGGGGAGCTTATATACATTTTTAATATTTTGCATGTTTCTACAGCCTAGGGAAATGAATCCTTTAAAGCTTAATTGGAAAAATGATGACCCAATTTGGATAGATCAGTGGCCTTTGACTACTCAAAAGTTACAGGCAGCGCAGGAATTGATTGATCAACAGCTTTTTCTACATCACATAGAACCATCCACATCTCCTTGGAATTCTCCAATATTTGTGATAAAAAAGAAATCAAGCAAGTGGAGACTTTTAACGGACTTACGTGCTGTAAATTCATCCTTAATTCAAATGGGAGCCCTTCAGCCCGGCATTCCTTTACCCTCAGCGCTCCCTGCTGGTTGGTTTGTATATGTTATAGATTTACAAGATTGTTTTTTTAACATCCCATTACATCCAGAAGATAGAAAACGGTTTGCTTTTTCAATTCCTCAAACAAATTATCAAAGACCTTATCAAAGATATCAATGGAGGACTTTACCCCAAGGAATGAAAAATTCCCCAACTATATGTCAAATTTATGTTGATGCAGCATTAAAACCAGTGCGTGCACGATGGCCTCAGGTTTATACGGCTCATTTCATGGATGATATTTTATTCTCATATAGTGATAGAAATGTTTTAGAAGATATTTTAAAAACTTTACCTCAATATTTTTCTCCGTTTGGACTTGTAATAGCACAGGATAAAATTCAAAAGGAAGAAGTTAGTCATTATTTGGGATATATTCTTACTAGACAAAAGGTGATTCCACAAAAAATGTCTATTAGGAGAGATAAGTTATCCACTTTAAATGATTTTCAAAAATTATTAGGGGATATTAATTGGCTTCGTCCCACACTAGGTATTCCTACCCATGCATTACAGCATTTGTTTGCTACTCTACAGGGCTCTTCAGATCCATCCAGCCCTCGTTCTTTAACAGCAAAAGCAGAGCAAGAATTACAGTTTGTAGAACAACGAATTAAGGATGCATTTTTAATTAGGATTGATCCTAAATTGCCTCTAACTTTATATATTATTAATACTTTTCAATATCCCTCTGCAGTTTTAGGTCAAAATGCTATGCCAGTAGAATGGGTATTCACTAAAACTAAGCAATCTAAAAATGTTATGCCTTATATTGACATGGTTGCAGCTTTAATTATGAATGGTAGAGCTCGTTCTATAACTTTGATAGGAGAAGATATAAACAATATAGTTATCCCTTTAACTAAGGAACAATGGGAATATTTGTTGTCAATTACTGAAACCTTACAAATTGCTTTAGCAGATTTCATGGGAACTTTTTCATATCATTTTCCTAAAAGTAAATTATGGGATTTTTTTAGACGTCAACAATTTGTGGTTAATACCTTATTAGCTGTACAGCCAATTCCACAAGCTTTGACTATATTTACAGATGGATCTAAAAATAAAGCTGCATATTGGACTCAAAAATCTTACTGGGTACGTCAGACAAATTTTAACTCTGTACAACAAAATGAACTTTTTGCTATATTACAAGTGTTTTTAGATTTTCATAACCAACCTATTAACATTATAGCCGATTCAGCCTATTCTGTTGGAGTAGTGACAAATATCTATTCAGCTGTGTTATATTCTAATAAGCCTGCTTTATTGTCTTTATTTCAAAATTTACAAATACATGTTCAAAAAAGAAATCATTCTTATTTTATTACTCATTTACGTTCTCATTCTCAGTTACCCGGACCATTAGTATCAGGTAACAATGCAGTGGATTCCTTAGTTATGTTCACCACACCCGTTGAAGAACATCAATTTAATCATGCAAATGCAGGACATTTGCATCTTAAATATAAGATACCTTTTACAAAAGCTAAACAGATTGTAAAAGCTTGCCCTATTTGTAGACCATTACATTTAAGAATTATTCCCGCAGGTGTCAACCCTCGAGGAATTCAACCTAATGAGTTATGGCAAATGGATATTACACATGTACCTTCTTTTGGTCGGCTTTCTTATGTACATGTAGTTATTGATACCTATTCTTCATTTCTATGGGCTACTGCTCAACAGGGAGAATCCACTAAAAATGTTATTGTACATTTATTGGAGACTTTTGCAGTTATGGGAATTCCTTCTAAAATCAAAACAGATAATGGACCTGCTTATACTAGCAAAACATTTAAACAATTTTGCGATCTCCATAATATTATTCATATTACAGGGATTGAATATAACCCCCAGGGTCAAGCTATTGTTGAAAGAGCACATGGCACTCTTAAGTTACAAATTAAAAAATTAAAAAGGAGGAGTCAGGAGGATATTCAGATACCAATACTGTTTAAATTGCAAAACAGTCCAAAAACATTACTGCATCAAGCATTGTTTATTTTAAATTTTCTCAATTTACCACAAGGTGAAATATTAACTAGAGCTGAAAAACATTTTGAACAGCAACAACAGCCCTTTGTGATTAATGAACCTATTTGGACTAAAACAGCTCCAGAGGCTGAATGGGAGAGGGGCACATTGCTCTATAAGGGGAAAGGTTTTGGTTATATCTCCACAGAAAATGGAATTCAGCAGTGGGTCCCTGGACGATGGACCAGGATCCGCGCCTCCAGACCCTGTTCGCCAGCCCCGGAGACAACTCCCCAAGGAACCGGAACCGTGCCTTCAGAAGCGAGTGCGAAACCAGCTAGAGGCTGAGGATGCTGAGCTTGTTCCTATCGCAGCCATGGCCAGATTAAAGCTAAGAAAATCCCGCCGCTCACAGCGACCAAATTTAAATCCCCTCCCTACATGGGGACAATTAAAGAAATTGACCATAGAAGGGCAACGGCTTGTCCTTCAAGCAGGAAAGCCTTTAAACCCTGAAAACTTGTTTTTAGCTTTATGTGCCTTGCTCACTGTTGCGTCGGGGACTGAGGTACCTCCACATTCGTACTGGGCATATATTCCAAACCCCCCTTTATTAGAACCTGTAAAATGGGGAACTAGTGATATTTTACTTTATACCACACCTAGAGAAATTTTGTCAGCACCGTGGGCTGATTTAACCCCCCACAATCAAGATGATGGGACATTATTCAATTTTACTTATTATGGTAATCAAAGGCCTATTTGCATTGGGGAACCGCCTTGCATCCCTCTGGGATGGCAGTATTGGATTCAACATGGAATAAAAGCAGGCAACAAAAGAACAAGGCTTCAAGCCTTGGCTGCTCAAACCTTTAATGTTACCTGGAGAAATTTAACAGCACCTGATACAAATACATTTCCTGTATGCCCTGAATTCACTTATAAAAATATTTCTTATAATCCCATAATTTGGCAACTATGTATGGGAAAATTTGCTAAAAATATTGATGGGTATATTATTTGGGGACCATTTGGAAAATTCGTTAATGGATGTGCTGAATGGAATGAGACAAGATGTAATCTCTCTGTTGTGTATAGTCTTCCAGATCCAAAGAAAATAACTGACGGAGCTCCTATATTTCATCAAAAGACGGCTCTCTTGTGGTGGGGAGATGGTGGAATCGCTAACCCTGCTGTTGCAGCCGAAGAATACCCTCATCACCTTCAAAATCATATTTGGAAGATCCCAGCCGCTATGCAACCTGTAACCTTGTACAATGTTTCATATTCAGGGACTAGTCGATCTGTATCTACTAATTATAATTTTACTAGGTTTAAAATGTATAATATTACTGTTTGTGCACCTCTGCCTTATGTCTTTTTAGTGGGAACTTTTAATTTTACACATTTTTCTTGTACTTGTTTAAATTGTCAATTGTTTACATGCTTAAATAGCACACTAAATTTCACTAAGCCTTATACAGTTATGCTGTTACAACAAAAAACTCATATTTGGTTGCCTGTAAATTTAACTCGACCATGGTCTCAAGACCCGGTAATTTCTGTTACTACTGAATTTTTTAAACATCTGTTAAAACGTACAAAAAGATTTATTGGAATAGTGGTTGCTGTACTGTTAAGTCTGATAACTGTAGCCTCCCTAGCAGCAGTCTCAGGAATGGCTTTACAAACCTCTTTGCAAGAAAAACATGTTGTAGAATTATGGCATGAAAATTCTCATGAACTTTGGTTAACTCAGTGGCAAATAAACGCCAGACTACAACAACAAATAGACCTCCTTAAACAAACAGTTGAATGGATGGGTAGAAAAATATTGGCTCTTCAGCATCAAGTGTTTTTAAAATGTGATTGGAATTCAACTACTTTCTGTATAACCCAACGACCTTATAATCAAACAGAACATGAATGGGAAATGATTAGAATGTATCTAAATGGAAACACCTCTGCCCAGGAGGAAATAGAATCTTTGCATAATCAAATTGACAAGGATTTTGCAAAGCAAAATGATGATGAATCCCTAGCACAATTCGCGCAATTGCTTGCTCAATCTTTGAAAGGATTAGATTCCAAAGGAATCTGGCAGAGCATAACCCACACTTTTAGTGGCATGGGACTTAGTTTAATTATAGTTCTCATTGCCATAGTTCTTGTGTATTTTTACTGCATAAGACGAAATACTATTAATAACCTGATCTTATGGAAATTGTTGTTAAAAAATAAAAAGGAAGGAAGTGTGGGGGATGAGGTGTCACTTTGTAGGCCCAACCCCCTCTAACCTGCAATTTACAATAGCCGCCCTGGTATGCGAGAAGGAGGTAGAATAGGAATGCCTGTTCTCAGTGAGCCCTCACCCTCTGGAATCCATACTGTGAGCTGGCTTTGTTTTGCAGAAGTCTTGAGGAAGTGGCTGGCCACCCTTTGTGACACTAACAGCAGACAAATTAACAACATTCTTGAGCTAATGAATTTCTTCCTGGGCTAGAGAGGTTATGAGAACTGGTTGTGATTATTTACCTCACTTAGATAGCTTTAGAATAAACATTGTAGTCTGTCACGTTGTAGCTTGCCACAAAGAATGCCTTTTCACTACTTAATTATCTGGGCTCTGTGAATTGATCGGGTTTACTATATATGAATCCTAAAATAAAGATTGTGTGTGCAGTGCAGTGCAGTGTAACGCGGTGCAGACAGCAAAGGTGTCTCTCCTGTCTTTCTTTTCCAAGCGCTGTACCCCCCGTGTCCCGACAAGGCGTGCGTGTATGTTTACCTTGCCCGGAGTTCAGAGTGCCCTAGACACTCACGACAGGTAGGTAAGGCTTGTCTCTGGTATATATGATGTTGGAGTCTGTAGGCAATCCTGTTAGAGAGTCCTGCTATAGAAATGATCATTAATAGAATGTAAGAAATTAAGAACCAAAGTGGATGACAAAACATGAAAACCTGTGAGTCGTAAGGCAGAGATGAGTATCAAAAGTATGGTTAGATCTAGGGCCTGAGTGATGTGAAATCAGGATGGCAGTTTAAAAGGGAATAAAAGCATTTTAAGATTTAGGACTGGGGCCTATATAAAATAGGCCCTGTTTGTAACTGGCATAGGTTGACCTTTAATATTCCGTGAGACACTTAGGATTTATTAGCCTGAAAACTCATTAAGAACTCTGTATATGTGGCCTCTTATGTCCATGAATATAGAGATCACCTAGTATTTTGTTTTTACATTATTATGTCCATCCTTTTGATTTGACTGACTGTTCTGATATGTCGCATTTGGTTTTACTCTCTTCAAAAAAAAAAAAAAAAAAAAAAAAAAAGAACTGTGGGAGTCATAAAACCCAAACTGTGTAACTGCCATTCTACAAAAAAAAAAAAAAGCTCTAAAGGTTATAACTGCATATATGTTTAAGTGTATAAGATAGCCATATTACTGAGTGGGGTTTTTTTTGGATCATTGAACAAAACTGTTTGCACTCTCACTGTTTGAAAGTCCACTTTATGTGCTTCAATTTTCTAATTTGAACAACTATTTCTAAGATGAGAATATGTAATCTATTCACTAGTGATTTCTTACTGTTTATTTTTTAAATTTTGTATTACTTGTACCCTTTTTCTGTTTTTTTTTCTTTTTTCTCCTTAAATAAAAAAAATTATCTTCTGAAAAAAATACAATCTTTTGATCCCTAAAAATTGTGTTTAATTTTTCTATTAAATTGTGAGGACATTGAAATGTCTGACTATAATTCTGTATTCAGTTGTCCTTTTATCAGTTTTTTGCACATTTCGAAGCTCTGTGCACATGTGTTCTGAATTCTTACACACTTGTGGTCAATTGGTGTCTTTCTCCTGAAACAACCTGTTTTATCCTTGGGAATGCAGTCTTCACTCAGAAATTGACTTTCCCTGACGCTCCTGTTGTCACTGCAACTGCCTTGGGCATTGAACTGGCCAGAGCTTTGTGTATCCTCTTTTGAGCAAATTGTACTCTTATATTCAGAGGGGATTTCTGGTCCACTGAGGTAGAGATAGCAACACGCAAGGAGAAAATTCCCCTTAGGCACACAGTAGACAGGCACATTCCAGTAGAGCACAGGGCCCTGACTGAGCAGAAGTTGGAAGTGGGGTAGTCTACGTAGGTAGTTTCCAAGTAGCAGCCCATGGTATCCATAGCAGAGCTGGGAAATAATAATTTCTTGTGCAAATCCTGGCAAACACTACCATCAAGAAGATGCAGCATCACATCAGCAGTTGTTGTGTTTAGGGACATCATGACCCTCCTAGTGTGACACCTGGGGTGGGACCGTCAACTCTGCAGTGCTCTTGATAGAAACACATCACCATAGTCTCAGCATGAGGGAATGTCAGGCAGCCAGCCAAGGGACCTGTGCAGAGGAACAAGGACAGCGTTCCTGGTAGACAGCGGACAGCCACAGATGGGAGGATACAGCGGTGTCCCGCCACTGCACACAATGTGGAGTCCTAGATAGGTCCTGTAAAAGACAGATGGGAGAAGCCCAGGTGAACTGTCCACTGTACTTAGCAGTACTGCAGGAACGTCCACTTCCTAATGTCACTCATCGTCCTTCGGATCTCTTACGTTCCTCCTGTCTGAAGAAGCCAGGTGATCAGTGTATAGGAACTCAATGACCTTCTTAAAATCTGAAACTATTTCTACATAAAAGGAAAATAAAGCTAATAAGCAGCTTCTTTGTAGGTGCAATGGTTAATCTCACCTGACAGTCTGTGCTTTGTAATTGGTGATGAATGCAAATCACTGCCCTGTGTTCACTCAGCTGGGTTCCAGCCTGTCTTCCACCCTTTGTTTGCTCTTCCCTGATTTTCCTCCTCCCTTTGGATTAGTATTCGCGTCTCTCACCCTGCTGAGCCTCTATCCTGTTGCATGTATGTTGCTGCCTTCCAGCGTGTGCCATTGGTCAGCCAGGCCTCCCTTCAGCAGCGACCCACCAGGCCACGTGTGTGCAGGGAAACAGTGCGACATTTCTGCCTTCCCAGGCTGTGTGCTGCTGTTTCCTACATTTTATTTCTGTGCTCACCGTGGACCTCACTGTACCTGGCCATTATTCTTCTTTCCATTGGGACAGAAGGTGCCTAACATGAACTCACCCTCATTGCCCTCAAGTGCACAGCCCCTGGCATTGGGCACCTCAGGGTGCTGGGTGACCATCTCTGCCTGCACCTCCACAGGGCTGCTATCCTCTATGAAGTGTTGGTTTGACTTCATGAGTAATTGGGAGAATGATAAACTTGAGTTTTTATGACCACCACTTGTTCCATTCCTGGTGATCCTCACACTCATATCACTGCCTTCCTGGGAAGCTTTCCTGTCATCTCCCTTGCTGAGCAGCTCTGCTGAGGAGGGACACCCTGGCCACCCATGTGTCTGAGGCCATCACAAGAGGCCTCTGTGCTGACAGCAGCAGCTGGCAGGCCTGGGAGATATATATCTGTGTGACACATGTGTGAGTCAGAATCATTGCCCTGAGAGAAGGGGACCAGACACAGACCACACACACTGTGAACCCATGTTCCTGAGACTCAAAAGGAAAAGCAATTTAACTATGAATAGACCCATGGGAGCCTGGGCTGACTGTTCAAAACCAGGGGCTGGCTCCAGGGTCACAACGCTATCCCTGTGTGAGTGCTCGGCCACTGGTGCCCAGCCTAGAGCTGGCCTGGGCTGAAAGAGGGAGCTGGGACAGATCAGCACTGCCTGGCTTCCTTCCATGGTGCCTGGGTCGGGTGTTTGCCTGTGTCCTTGCAGTGTCCGTGCTGTTAAATGACAGGCCTTCCTCACCATCCCTGAGAGCTTCCCCACTCCCCAGCCTGTGTGAGTTTATCTGGGGGTGCTGGTCAGACGCTGAGCTGCTGTCAGGGGTGGAAAAGTAATAGCAAGAAAATATAGGAGCCTTGGGTTTTGTGAGACTTTTCTGACCCTTCTTTCTCTAGCCCTGGAGCAACAATTCCCAGCGAGGCCCCATCTCACCCCCTTGCCTGGGGAGTTCTGGTTTGGGTTGTGGAGACCCAGGGGTGGGAAGTGGGCTCAGCATCCTGCAGGTGGAGGTCCACGATGCTGCTAACCATCCTGCCATCCCATGGAGGGCTGGCTGAGATCCCCCACGGGGACCAGAACCTCACTACAGCACAACTAGACAGAGCACTGCCCCACTCCAACCCTGTGGCCTGCTGTGGGAGGGTGAGGTCCAGTGGGCTGGGGTCTAAGTGAGATCACAGGAAATGGAGGAAGTGGATCACCTCAGAAAGACAGGAGCACCTGTGGCAGAAGTGGGAACCAAGCGTTTCCAGGACAGTCCACACTGTGCAGGTCATCGGGGTGTCAAAGTGAAACACACCAGCTCTTATACAAAATCTGATGAGTCCTTCCCTGTGACCATGGCCATGATGGCTCCCTGTAATCCCCTCCCTCCTGCCTCCCTGGGAGGAGCCACTGTTACTCAAAGCTGGCTATTGTGCCCCTGGATAAGAGGCAGCTGCTGAAGCCAGAGCCTAGTACCCTTCCATCTGCAGCTTGGAGTGAGAGTGGCTCCTCCCAGGCTCAGCAGACTGGGACCCTCCCTGGTCCAGTTTTTGTGGGGCTAAAGCTGGGTCCTTGGCGTGTCATATCCTGGATGTGGACCAGAAAGGTCACAGGCAGCAACTTTCATGGTGTCACTCCCCAGGGTCTGCATGATGAGGATCACAGGGTGCCAGGGCATCACACTGCCCGCATGGTGCTCACCACACAGGTGGTGCAGAGTAAGAGTCCTGCAGCCTCCAAGCTGGCTGTCCAGCAGCCTCCCAGGATCCCTCCTCGGTGTACTCCAGGCTCTCTAGGCACAGGAGTGCCCGGGACAGCATACAGACCTCCGCAGCGGGAATCAAGTGGAGAGCCTGTGGCTGGCCACCAGGAGCGCCTGACACCTGGGTGGAGCACAGGAGCTTCCTAGTAGCTCCTAAGGAAGGGGAGCAGGTCCTGCCACACTGTGCAAACTCAAACAGAGCCAGGCCACACCAGCAGAGGCCCAAGCAGTCCCACAACATGTAGGTGGCTGAACAAGATGACCAGGATAGCCAGGGGTTCTCAACCCAGGCTTGAGGGTCACCCAGCTGCTTGTGGAGATGCCAGGGATGGTGAGGACAGGCCAGAGGTGCTGCACAGTCTCATGCAAAGCTGGGGTTGTTTAGCCAAAATGCCCACAGTGTCCAGTTGAGAAGCCCTGCCTTATACCCTCATGCTGGCAATGAATTTTGGGGTTTGCTATGGGGGAAAAATGACAAAAACAAAGAAAACTTTCCACTAAAAAACAAGCATAAAACCTTTCTGAGAAATGAGTAAACTGTGGGAGGCAGGGTCATGGGTGGAGAATGGGATGGCACCCTGAGCAGACTCTGGGGTCCCACATTGGCCAAGGTCAGGGCAGAGTGGCAGAAAGCCCCAGGAAAGGAAGTGGGCTGGTAGCAGCCTTTGAAGGTCTCACTGGCCAAGGCCTGTATCAGGCTTCTGGGGCCCACATGCCATCAGGGGGGAAAGTTCCCTGCAATAACCACTCCCCCAGAGAATCTTCCCCCAGTGGAAGCTGGCTGGCTACACACCCTTGTGGGTTGTATGTGGCTGCTGGGGCACATGCCCTCATCTTGTCCTCCACTGACAATGCTACAGCAGGTGGCTGAGTGCTCTGTTGCTATTCAAAGCTACAAAAGGCTTTCTCAGAAGCCCCCTGAGGCATATGGTGCCCATCTTCTGGAAACCGATGGATGCAGGAATTTCTGCACACATAGAAACAAATACCACCAACAGCCAGGACTTTGACCAGGACTTTCCCAGTACCCTGACGCCCACCATGCAGGCTGCAGCTGCTCCCTTGGGCTGGGTGGGCCCCTGCAGGGAAAGTATGTACAGGGACCCAGAAAGGAGCATGCAAGCAGCTGAGAGGGCTCCACTCAGTTTCATTCATCAGCAGAAGACATGGGACACGCAGAACAGACAACAGGCGACACATGCTGGCCAGGCCCTTGGCCTTGGAGTGGTTTCCAAAAGCCGAGTGAAAGAAGAAGGGAAAGGGGAGGCCTGGCCCATGCAGCACACCCTTCTGGCCACAGAGGGCCCTGCTCTCTTGGCCCTTCTGGGGTGTCCTTCTGTCCCCTACTGAGTGCTCAACCTCAGTCTTATGCACACTGCTAAGCAGGCAGCTATGGCCAGACATATCACAAGTTTTGAGAGAGAGAGTTTTATAAAATTAATACTTGTAAGGCCTCTGTTATGCCTAATTTAAATCCATGCCTCAGCTTAAGGTCCTTCCTACTTAGCTTAATATATATTTTTTAAAAGCTTTTGCATCCTCACAATGAAAGTTGAGAGCAAAGCCAAGTATTGAACTGAGACTAGGACTCACAGGGTAAACAGAGCTCAGAGACCATAATCACCTAAAGCAGGACAGGTGTCAAGGTTTGTGTCTGGATGTCCCCACAAAGCCTCATGCAGGCATGGAAGTCACTGCATCTAGCATTTGTGATTGGTTCATTGTCTAATGCTGGGATTGGCTGTGTGAGTGCTGCACCCACCTTGGGGCAAGAAGCTTGTATACAATATAAGGAAGAAGGCAATCTCTTCCCTTTTTTCCCTTTGCTAGCTCTTGTCATCTTTGGTACCTGCCACCACCATGAAGGGTTGCCCCTGTGCCACACCACCCTGCCTTGGAGCCAGCAGAGTACAGACTGAAACCTCCAAATACTGTAAGCTAAATAAACTTTTCCTTTCTTCACTTTGGGTGTCAAGTATTTTGTCTCAGCAACAAGAGAAAAGTAACCAAGAGAAGTGGCGAGAGAAAGAATCAATGTGTGCTTTGTGGCTCCTTTCACTGAGGATTACAGGTTAACTCCCACTTCTCAAAGACTCAGAAACCACAAAGTGAGGGGCTTGTGACCCTGCTTGATAACACTGCTGGGTGCCAGGGCCCCTGCCCACTGAGGACTTTGTCCAGGGATGAGCTAGCAACATCATAATCACTAGCAACTGTAGGAAGCAGCCCTTGAAACTCAATGCCAAAAGAGACCAATAAATCTAACCCTTAGTAAGTACAGGTGCAAGACAAAGACATCAACTGGTACTTCACAAATGGGTATTTTTCTAGTTTTTCATGATAACAACAATAAAAGATTGCACCTGGGCAGGAACTGTGCAGCAGCTCAGATGCTAGAGATGGATCTGAGGAGCTGGAGCAAATCCTGGAGGTTGTAGGGAAAAGCCTTCATAGGGAGTGAAATGCATCACATGCTATCTCTGCTAGATTCATGTCTCAGGAGATTACCAACTGAATTTAGCAAGGACCTTAAGAAAGGTAGCAATACTCCTTAACCAAAGCAGTGAAAGTCTGTGAGCTTAAGACTCAAGGCAGAATCCTGCTTAATGTCATCGAGCACTAATCTTATCACTCTCTCCACACAAGCATGTAATCATATATGTATGTGTCAC